TTAGAGTGGAACGCCTTCGAGTTCTTCTAGAATTTCCTTGGAAGATTGCTCGTGCCCGGGCATTCTCCACACCAGTGGTAGGTGGTAGACGCGATTTTGCATTTGACCATGTGGAAGACTCTCGCAAGCCATTTATCACGGTGTATATTTTGTGTTATGCCAGAGAAATCCTCTGCTGTTGTTCTCTGCCGGCAAGTTGTTGAACATCATGCGCCCGTTTATTGCTCAATCAGCCAGACCGGACCGGTATGTATGGTGATAATGGAATTCGTGCGTGTGTCCACGCTGTACCTGCGGACGGTACTCTTCCGTGCAGTGTATTATTTTGACTACTTTGTAGTGTTGGGAGTAATGTCTTTGATTCCTGGGATGTCCCTGATCGGGGGAAGCTTCGTTAAGAGAGGGTTTATTTTGTCGTATGCATATAATCTGTGTTTGTTCTCCCATCTTACGGCGGCTGCGGCGCATAACGCTCAATGTTTCTCCATCTTTACTGTTCCTTCTCACAGCAGCGGTTGTTCGCGTTGTTTTGGGGACAATGACACCCAAACAATTATTGTTTGTATGTACTTCGTCGATTTCACATCAGCACTGACTATGGCAACATCTTCCGCCCACTGGTGAAAAATATGTTGTACTCGGAGTGCACGCTATCCGCGACGACGTTGATGTCCCTCCCTTTGTTGGGACTTTTTCATCACGTCGTTAGTTTCTTGCTCCTGGCTCTTGGGGGGAGGGTTCACACAGACATGTAGCCCGAGTTGAAGGTAGGTGTGATTTTCGCCAGGTATTGCTCCACACATCATATTTGTAGGGATAGGTAGGTGTGGAGCAATACCTGACGAAAATCACAATATGGTCTGTAGGGTTTTCTAACGAAACCACGGCCTCATATTTGAGTATTCTGTTGGCGCTTGGACATGCTCAAAGGTCGAAAACTGAAAATTGTTCCTCTTTCAGGTGATGTCTTGCGACATGGCTGTGATTGTGTTTTGGGCGTGTCATCACCGGTTAGCCTTTTTCCCTGTTGGGTGTTTTTTCTCCGTTCAAAAAGTTAGGTAGAAAACCAAATCGCCCCTTGAAGGAATTTTCTGGTGTCCATTGGTATTTTTAGAAAGAAAGGTACCCCCTTTTGCGGGGGTAGTTAGCTGGTGACCACGGAAGGCGTCCGCGTGAGTTGGAGCAGTACGGACATAAGAAGGTACTGAGCGGAGACCGGAACGGTTTTGATGTGAAGACAACAACAACAACAACAACAACATCACCACAACTCTTCAGCGGGTTGGTTATTCTCCGTGTATTGCTCGTGACACCCCGGCAGGTCGTTGTATTATCTCTACCGGAGAACCATACATCCCTGTTGCTTTCAAGGGCCGGACAAGCAAGCCATGGCACATTGGAATGCAGCGAACAACATCACCGGAGCTTGGGTGTTAGACTTATCCAGGTCCGGGCGAAACGTTGGAAATATCGCTAAACTACTTTCAGGACAAAAACAAAATCTTTACTTGGCGGTCGACGACACTGTGTAGCGAACGGGGCGGCGGAGCGGGGAAGCGGGCGTAGCGGGCACATCAAGGTACCCCTTGATGTACATATTCTGTGTTCTGTCTCCACGCCCGACTGGCGACAGACACGCTCAAGGAAAGGAGACAGTAATGCTGTAGCTTCTTATCTGTCGATTCGCTGTTGAGGTCGTTGGTGGTCCTCAAGCTACAGCTCCCCAACTCCTGTAGTGAAATATTTCGTTGGGTAAAACTCACTCGAACTGTAACGAATGATGCTACAGGAGGGGTCACCTCATCTTACTTTTTTTAGGCAGGAAGACACTCTCTACATAGGCCTGTTGGCCGTCCATTTCGTGGTACCATCACCGAAGCAGGGTTAATCGTTTTATCCACAACGCGTAAGAGTTCACCCCATAAGTGCACACCCCTACCGTGTCACCAGCCCAACACGATGCCAAACATTCTCAGTAACAGTCTCTTCAGCTTCTGCCCTATTCCATTCACCCGCTTTCCGCGACGTCGGTTGGAACTACACAGACGGATGATGGCTTGAGCTATTCTTCGACGCGCTCCTCGACGCACAACGCGCTCCTCGACGCAAAAGCGAGAGGACAGAGCGCGGACTCTAGAATGATCCCGTCGGCGCGATCGATTTGTCACTCTATCTGTATCGGTCCCCCTTATATTGCCGGTGTTTGCCTCTTCCTTGTGGCGTTGCAGGTCCGACACGTTTGAAGCGTACCTTCTATGCCTGGGCACGCCCCCACAGGCCATCCGAGCTCAGGTAAGGGGCGGGCGCCTGGGCGACAGACACGAATGAAACCAACCAGACTTCGGGTGGAACGGAAAAAATAACCGAAGTCTCCGCGATCCGCCGCGATAAAAAAGTGCACTTGCATACAACAGCACTTGCAAGATAGGGTTTTCTGTACTACTGTAGGCGTTCTTCTGTGCGCAAAGCTAAGCCAGCTCATTGAATGTACCAATATTCAGTAAAAGAACCGCGGTTGTCCAATGCTCCGCAGGCGTACGTATTCCACAGTAAGATGGTGTTCAGTCTAACTGTGACGGCGTTTTTAGTTTGGGATACTCATATGTTCACCTTCTCCGCCAAGTTGAATCTGTCCCGGTGACCGTTTTGCTGTCTTGTGTATTGAGTACTCCTCAAGGCCCGCCGGTCGTACCAACGTGTGCAACAAAAATCTCCCGCACCGTTGATGTACGTGGAGAAAATGAACGCCGAAACCATAGTGATCACGAAGGCTTTTTTTCCGGGCGCCGTCGTTAATGTCTTCAGGCGGCAGGGTGGTGGGGTAGTACTCTCTGGACATTGATTTGGGAGGCGCTGAGTCCTTTTCATGGTTTGGCGTGGAGAACAATCATCGTCATGGTGATACAGACCAAGAGAAAAGGTTGCGTTGTGGTTCAACGGGGTCTTTCTACAAACGGTTGCGACTTCGTTTTGTGTAGAAAATATGAAAAAGCACACCGTGGAGACGTCTACAGGGAATCACTCCTGAAGGGATGCGCCTTACGGTGCGGGAACGCAGTCAAGAAATGTTTCCCTGAGAAACAAGCGCTCAAGTGCTCTCGAAAAGTATCAGAAATGGGCTAAGAAACACAGCTTCAACAGGCGTAGCGAGCCGCAGGCCTTCCCGGAATATCATGCCGGACTTTCCACCTGCGAATCGGGCCATGGCAGTTTTCGTGCAGGGTTGCGGCGCACACTCCGAGCCCGCCACACAGCACGCATGTGTATGCACCGGTCTTGTTTGGGCCAAAGACCACGATCATATCGTGCCAACTCCCACCGTGACTTTGTCCGGGTGCTAACTCTTTAAGGGCATTTTTTCACGCCAAACAGGGTACAGACCCTAGACGCCCTGGTCTCTTATTCTTTGGTTGCGCATACATTAACCAAAGTCAGTTAGGGTACGTGTACTTGTCGAAGTGACTCAAACCAGGGGGTGCCCACAACCTGCCACAAGTGTGAAACCAGACACTAGCGATGACTACGACAAACTGTTCGTTTCGGAACTTTCCAAGTGAACGAGTAAGAAATTGTTCTTCTGGCGTGTGCTCCAGAGTTAAAACATTTTTTAAGAATACGGGCAAACGAAGGTATACACATGCTAGGAGATGACTGGTACCGCCAGTATCCATACGCGAAGTTGGCCTTTTTTCTGTGCCGATCATGATTTGTCGTTCTACCATTGCAGGTGGCCGGAGAACGGCAGCACCAGAGTCGGAACGTGATCGCCCTCAACAACTCACACTTAGTCATCCACAAGCGGACGGCCGTGAACAATTTCACCGAGAGGTATGGGCACGAACACCTCGACTCCCGAAAGAATTGAAGAGCGACATGACCACTCTTCGATTTTCGCACGTTGTGTGTGCTGGCTCGCTTGAGAGGAGTATTGGTTTGATTGGAGAAAAGTCCACCCAAATAACTGTCTGTCCTGTTCGATGATTCGCACCCTCACACTCGCTGCGAGGGCATCCCGCAGACCAACACGAACGTTTTTCGTTATTACCCCACCCCCCTCCCACATTTGACTGCCGTGACGCTTTCCGGTGGTGAGCAGTGCACGTGATAACATGCAACCCAGATCCACGCACCCACGCACACGAACAGTCCCCCTTTCAACACTGCACGAGACCGTCGGTAAGGACACAAGCCTAGCAGCGATGGGAGCTACAATTCAGATGTTGTCCCCACCAGTCCCATCGGTTCAATGTTTTTGAACTTGCGTCCAATGCCGAGTAGCTAATGATAGTCGTCCCGTCGGGTCACTCTCCTGTTGAGGACATGACTCGAAATATGAGGAACGCAGTGTGCCCCGGCCAGAGCCGTGAAGTGGTCACCAATGACACACGAGAGACACGGGCGACACGATACTATATGCATGCTCCTAATTCGTATTCGGTGTTCTGTCCACTGCGGCTTGCCATGGCCTTAGCCTTCCGTCTGCGAACAACCTCTTGATGGGGGGAAGGACGAAAAAAACTCGCTCAACATACGTCCCGGTGCCCGTCCACACGGTGTGTCCAGGTAATGGTGTTGACAAAATGCCACCATCTGCTACTCATACACAATGGCCGTGGACCAGATAACGTTCGTAACCTTGGCAGCATCATGTTTGGGACGAACTACGGCACGCGCGCTCTTCACCAATAATTAAGAAATTGCGATAGTACAGCACCTAATCAGGTTCGAGCTTGCAAAGCCTATGCAGGTACATTATGGCTGCTATTCGCCTTCGAGAGAGGTTTCTCCCATGTACATATCTCGAAGTTTCCACGTAGAGATGTCTACAGCCGTCTCGTAATGTTGCGTTTAGTCTTTTGCTTTGGTTCTGTACCCTTGGAGGGCAAGGCGCGTTGTTTGCCGATTGGATCTTACCAGGTGCTACATCTATCTCTGGCTTCCGTTGTTTTGATGGAACGAAGCGGAGATTTAGCTCGTGCGTTCATTACTACAGTCGCCCTGCGTCTGTCTTGCTACACATCTGTCCCGATACTCTCACGTATCAGGCCAAGAGATATGTTTACACCATCACTACTTTCTTCCGTCTTGTCATCTCTGTTCATCTATTCAGCTTTAAGCTTGACGAGGAAAAAGTTACGCCGGCAAGGCCCTGGAACCTTTCACCGGAAGGCGCCGGCGGGGTCAACCAGGTCAAAGTTTGTCTGGGAGACGACGGACAGCTAGACGGATACGTCGTGGCTACGACGACCTGTGGACCCGGCGGCAGAGAGAGCATAGAAACGGTGGAGGTTCGCCAGCTGGTAGACGGAGGACAAGCTCATATCCAGGTAAGAAAAGGAGGTCGATGCAGTCTGTCTTCTTCTTGCTACGCTGAGGGGCAATTGGCGTCTCGAAGCGTTTACGTTCCTACTGCTGTACATCAGAACCGTATACATGAACGGCCATCTCTGCTAACCGCCTGTACTGGTCAGGAGCTTCGTGGGATACAGATTAGAAATCGGATGAGGATAGACTCAGTCTGTTATACAACTTCAGAGATTTATGGCGTTGAGTGTGCCGCGATTCAAGTGACCGAGGCCTTCAGGAACCGTTGCAATGGTCGCCAGAGGGACAGGCTGGGCGCCGATCAAAGCATACATGTGAGGTTGGAGGGATGTTCCGAGGAGGACGGGATCGGTCTTTGAACACATTGCTATTTCTACACTGCCAGCCCGCCGCGCCTCAGCTGGACATACGCTACCGGTTATCCGAGATTAGAGTGTCTGCACACTTTGGCGTGCAGCCCCCCGACCCCAGGTTGTAATCGGTGCCCAACGAACCCCAACTTGACCTCTATTCACCAGCGTGAGGGGGGCCGTGTTCGTGGGTCGAATAATGCGCTGCACTTTTGATGGCCTCTTTGCCGCTGCTTGTTCTGCCCCAAGCTCATCGTGGTTCGTTGCGTTGACCTTTCCGCAGCAAATCAACATGCAAAACCTGATTAATGGCGGGCAGTGCGTCGTGATGCGTTACTGGGTGCGTGTGGCCATGACCGAGGAGGACCACGCGCTAGTTGGCATGTGAGAGCTCGAGAAAAGTCTCCCTCGCATAATTGGCGCAAGATTCTCGCTCAACACACGAAGTGCGTCTCACGGTATCCTCTACAGCCCTCATCGACCCGGCCAGCTTGCTGCATTGACCTGCTGTAGGTCAATGGTCGGTATTCTTCATTTTCAGGGGTGAACGTCTTGTGCCTGGACGGCTTGGCCGTACCCTCTGAGATATGTGTGTGTGTACGTACGTGCGTACGTGTGTGTTTTTACGTCCCCATCCGTTGCGGGCCAAAGCTATCAGTTGAGACCTGTTTGACTCTCCAGCAGGGGTCACAGGAAGGCAGATAGACATTGCATGTAGTCCTGTTCATGAACTCTACTTTCAGTGGGCCAGTGATATGTGTTGTTTGGAATTTCTCGGGTGAACAGATGCTCTCACCGCCCCCCCCACCCTCTCGCCCCCCGGTAAGCCCGACGGCCAGAGTGAGATTCAGACGAAGCACATCCAACAGTACCATAATCCCCCGAAGCAGGGAAATAGTCTAGGGAGGGGGCACGTCGTGCATTGATGATGGAAAGGCGGTTTCATGGGCATTTTCCGTTTTGCGTCAGCACTCATAGGGTGACGATGGCAATGAACTGCCACGCGATACGGTGATGGCGAAGGTGTTAGCACCTGTACTCTTTCAGAGTGCTAATAGCCATATTCAAGTCTACGAAGGCCTTGAAAACTTGGCTGTTGTGCGGGGGAAACAACAATAATAGCGGCGACCGCAGACAACGCACTCTATGTCGTATATTCCTACGAAGGTTTCGGCGGCATCGCCGTGTACCTCGATATCGTCCCGTTTCCAGTGGTTGACGTCCTTGCGGAGATCGTTATCAGCACCTCGTTGCTCATATTGTCAAGGGTTTCTTGTTGTAAATAGGCAGTGACAGGAATCGATGCCGAGAAGGCCGTAAATTGTGCAAGGTTGATGACTTGATTCATTCGAAGTGTGCGTGAAGTGGCAACGATACGTTGTGAGCGTTAAAGTGACCAGGAAGCAAAGGAAGGTACCATGCAGGGATAACATGCCCTACAAGGTGTCCCCAGTTCAGTAAGAGATGGGAACCTTCGAGGCTGTACACCTACTTCCGGGTATGTGCGGTCCGGAGGGCCTCATAGATGCAGGGAACAGGGAAGAGTCGGGGTGATATTTGTTTTTGGGGTTCTCCCACTTTTCCTGCCCTCGTTAGCATTGACCTGCTTCTCAATTAGTATGGCTAGCAGCCAACATTTCCAAGCTACCTTTAGCTACAACGTGAACATGCAAAATGTGTGGGGAAAGCACATCGTCTTGTCAGTTTTGCATTGGGTATTGTACGAACCGGGGAGGGACAGTGGTTCGGGTTGGTTGTCTCGGGGCGAGGTTTCTCTTTCGTACGTGTCTGCAGTTTGAGGCGGAGATATATGTAGTTTGAAACTGTTGGTGCTCTCCCCTTGTTCATGCCCCTTTGATGTGTTTTTTGCTTTCCTGTATTGTTGTCAGCCTGTCTGCAGTTTGAGACGTTTTTTTTTGTAGTTTGAAACTGTTTGTGCTCTCCCCTTGTTCATGCCCCCTTGATGTGTTTATTTCGTCGTATTGTTGTCAGCGAATGAGGGACAAACTGGTACCCAACGCCCGTTCTTTCGTCGTGAAGTTGACTGCTGCTGAATTGTTGGCAGCTTGTGCGAATGACGAACAAACTGGGTGGATAACGTCGATGGCATCCTCGCGATTTAACTACGCTGTTGTATCGTTGCCAGCCTGTGCGAGTATGGCACAAACTGGGTAGACAGCGATAATTGTTTCCTCGTGATGTTAAATTGATGTTGCCTTGTTGTCGCTCAATGCGAATGAGAAAAAAACTGGATAGGGTACGCGAAAGAGGACAAACACTGAGTGGACAACGCCCATTGCCTCCTCGTGATGTTTGACTGCTCTTGCATTGTTGTCAGGCTATCCAAGTAGGCAACAAACGGGTAGAAAACCCCAATCATCTCTTCGTTTTGCCATTGGGCAAGTTACCTTGCGTCGAGGAAGTCGCGTGCTGTCTTCGTGTCGCGGCAGCTATTGTGTGCGTGTGTGTAGTTCGAGGCGACTATCAGATTGGTGTTTGCCTACCCGTTTTCACCAACCGACAATACAGGAGAGACGTCGACTTTCGGTTAGAAGTTTACGTCGGAGGACCGAAAGGTCACATGCCACGTCCTTGGTACCACGCCGGAGCGAGCATGGATTTATGTCTACCCTCGTCTGAGCTCCAAGGTTGGCGCTCAAAAGTCCCTTCGCGTTTTACCGGTCGGGAGAAGCACGTGCTGCAACGAAATTCGACATGTGTTCGGTGCACCCGTTCGCTGGCATCAATGGAAAATGGAGGACATCGCGCCGAACCAACCAAAAACCATGCCTACCAAAACACGCCTGTAATATTTTTTCAAGCCTCAAGCACAAAGTCGCCTCATCCAGTAGCGCACCTCTTCCATTCCCTGCAACTCCGCATGTTTTAGTCTATTTCATGGACTCTCACTACGCCACATGTTTTCCTCGGCGTGCGGAGATATGGCCTAGATAATCACTATCTGTACAAGGAGGGAAGGCCCCGCGTTCGTGCGGAACTGGTCATGCTGCTCTCGCCGTGTCTTTCGGAGCCGATCGAGAAAGGGGTTGTCGAGGTCGACTCTGACTGACAGCGCAACGAGGACATATTTCTGGCTTATGCGTGTGAGTGGTGAACATGACCCGGGTTGTGCGTCCAGAATTGTTGGCACTCGGACGTTTCCAATACAGTGGAGGGCCCTAAACAACGCCGGTATGTGCCCGACGAATCGACCAGCGCTGTTCAAGAGGGACCGGCGCTATTCAACGTACAGAAATATTTGGTGGTCAGTCGTGCCCAGCAAACGCACCGACGCCATATAGGGCCACCGGCGCTAATTCACGGGCGTTGTTATCGACTCCCCCCCACTGTAGTAGTCGTAGATGTGAGCGAGAAACATCACTGCCGGGGTTGTACGTGGTGCCGGAAAAAGTGGTCAAACAGTAGATTTGTTTTCCGTGCGTCTGGGGGTGTTCTGGCCCACAGGCCGCGAAAGATGTCAACAGCGGCCTCCATTCACAAAACACTGTCTGTGTACACGACAACTCTTGTGAGGATGGACAAGGCTCAACTTTTGTTGCGAAAATTTATGTACGCCGACAACGCGTCACGCTCATCTGCAAGCCATAAAAAACGTGCTTGTCTTGGATGTGCTATCAAGGCCGCCGTTCGCACGAATAATTAAACGGGATAAACCCGCGCCGGAACCGAAGGTGTGACGGATTAACTGCACCGCACCGCATCGCATCGCACCGCACCGCACCGCATCACACCGTACCGCACCGCACCGCATCGCATCGCATCGCATCGCACGTCACCGGCAAACATCGAGATGAAAACCCGGCACCGCACCATGCAAGAGATGACCACGGTACGGTTCCGCCCCGTAGGCATCAACGGAGCCGGGTGGTGACCTTGAGCTTGCTTCCGAGGGTCGCGATCTCCCTTGCCTTTTCCTTTCCCACCGTCGCTGCATCGCTGGCGCTTGCTGCCATGCCTGTCCCCGGTGGCGTCCGGCCCGGGGTTACCCTTGTCTCGTAAGCCCATGTCTCGCGCGTTCCCGCCTGCTGGTGCCTGCAGCCATGCAAGAAGGCAAGCCCACGTAAGGTAGGAAAAGGTAGGTAGGTGTAAACCACCGGTGAACGAAACGCCACGTGGACGCGACCATGCACTTGGAAGCCGATCGTATTCTGGCGGGATAGTGTTGCGCACGAAAGCTCGAAGAACGTAACCTTGAGGTGATCGGTTGGGATGAGGGGTGTTTGATGCGACGATGTTCGCATGTTCGCATTAACAGAAGCGAAGAGATCAACATCTCTTGCCGATAGATGGGCATCTTAGGTGCCATTAGATTAAACCCACAGGCTGCAAGGCAAATTAACGTTACCTCACACATCGCGTCGAGACTTCCAACTGTTTGCGATTTAGCGACACTCGCTACCCATGTTACGATGCTGACGTCTTCATCCCGCGGCAGGGTCGACTGGGGAACCTATGAAAAAAAAAAAAAACTAAACAACGACCACAAGGTCCGAGGTCCCAGCTACGAAAGGTATATTCTACTTGCCTTGAAGTCTGTTCTTTGATCTTGTGTGTGGGTGGCTCGCGCGGCGACGCGGGCTTCGAGTGCCGCCGGCCCGCTTGGTCTGCACGTAATGAATCCTGCTATTCATCGCCCGTATTTCCGACTCCCCCATGGCCTCGCCGGGCATGACCACCGAAGTAAGACCGCCCTTAAAGTCCGTGATTGACTTCTTGCGGTGGGCTGCCTGCATCCGTCATCGGACGCAGCGGTATCAACAGTCGGGCTTTCGCTGTTTTAGACGCGACCAGCTTGAGCACGGGAATCTATCGCCGATGGTACCAAAACCAACAGGTCTCACGAAGTCAAAGAAACGAGCCCTCGGCAGCTGTTGACTGTCGTAAAGTTAGTCTACACGCTGTAGGCAACGGGTAGCATACGACCTCAAAATTCTCAGCGTTGTAACTCCTTTGTCAATTTCGCACGCCATCCCGCAAACTGCATGGTTTCTATGGCCATCTGTGCAACAGCAAACGGTAAATTGCTTTAGCGAGGTGTTCTGTGCAAGTCACAAGTGGGTAATGTGTTAGGTTTGGTGAACACCGACGTGAAAAGGACAATGCCTCTCCCCCATCTTGTACTCAACAGCAGGTGCTGGTTCCAGAAAGGGGAAAGGCAATCCCTGGTCAAAACGACTCCCTGAACTCCGCAACAACCAAACCTACAGCACCACATGCACCCTGCACTACCTCCGTCGAGAAACAATTACAGCTGTCGTCCTATCCCGACCAAAGTGGGGCAGGCAATGGCAAGGAAGACAACGCGCGTGGATTCGCGCGGCCATTTTCCTTGCATCGGGTTTGCAGGTACCCTCCGCAATGTTTTTCTCATCGGTGACTGGTTGCGAAGTAAAGGGCCTACTGCACACTTTCCAAAGCGATAATAATAGTCAACGTTGCGGCAAAAGATCGAAAAAGGGCAGGGTGGCTTGCTTGTCAGTGGTACGGACTATACAGAATCCGTCCGCAACGGTAGATCTAATCATTGTGTACCCAGACGTACCGAGATGTTTTTGCTATTGGGCATGTGCCTCACTCACCGTGTAGGGCGAACATTCCTGGAGTGAATCGCGTCATTCTCTATCGCTTGAGCTGACGCAATGCAGCGGTTCATCTCAGACGTGCAGCAGCCCTCGTCACGGCCAATTTTCCAGAGTTGCGATAGCAATTTGTCGTGGGCATGTTTCATCTAACACGGGGAAGGGTTTCACAACACGAACGTTGGGCACTGCATATTGTCTCTTGAACGCTAGTACACTAGCGGGGAGAGATACAAGGACCTCAGCAGGTGTCTTGTGTGGTAGATATAGACCGGCAGACATATGCCGCTAGGAAGTAAAAACTGAAACCTTTCTTCTACGATAAAAATGATAAAATTCGGGCTACTGAACACAGCTACTTTGTTCCGTCGAGGCCCCTGACCCGACAGTAAAATATGGTATAGAATACACTGTACCCGACGGTGCTGACGAAATGACAAAATTAGGACCTCCCATCAACAATCGTCGGTTCTAGTACCCGGGGCCCAAAAGTGAGGATTGAGTAAGACCCATCTCAACCTCTTGAAGTCTTCGTCAAGGGCGTACGCCACAGGTGATTTTCGAATCCGACATACATGTACAGGGCTCGGTTTTGGCCCGCACCAACAGCAGGGGGGGGTGGGGTGGTCACCGATCCAGTACCGAATCAATCCCTACCAAAGACCGTATCTAGTCTGGCGCCCAGACTAATCCAGACTAATCCAGACTAATCCCGGGCCGCGGGACTCCCACACGCACAGAACGCGCCACCTCTTTAGAACCTCCAATTTTGGGCGAGACTCGTTCCTTTTTTGTCTATGGGGTACCCCCGTGGGGACTACATAGGTATTAGTGTAGGTTTGTTGACCGAGGAGCTGTTTTTCTTGCCAAGTTCTTGGAATTCGGATTTTTTTGCCTCTCAAGTCCATCCATAACTGTTAAGTTCTTTAGTGGTGGCGCGGTCTGCAGTAGGCTACAAATAGGGTTCTGGGGCTACTTCTTGTCGCGTTCACGCTTCTCTCAGGGGCAAGACTCGACGGAGGAAGGGGATAAATGTTGAAGGGGATAAATGTTTTCAAGTGTGTTATCGCTCGCTGGTTGAAAGAGGGAGTACGGGAGAGCCCAACTGACATGTTTGTGCGCGTCCTCGATGTGTGACGGTGGGTATGACTATGTCCCCTCGCGGAGCCCCCGGTCAAGAACGCCCGCCTCCTGGTGGTGGCCGTTATTGATATTCGTGGGGCCTAGAGATTCCCCGTACTGGCCAGGGATAGCAGCGGACGTCATTCGAGGATGAGGCTACGGTGACGACCGCTTAATCCTTTTGCCTCCGGGAAATCTATGGTCCTGGGGGCGTGGAAAAGGTCGAGAATTGAGATGATCTGAGATAACGAGGACAACACTAACGACATCAACACCAGGGGGACGCTCACGGAGAATGAGAGAAAATGATTTCAAAACCAAGGCAGCCTTTGTGAGAAGCATCCACGGGACGATGAATTATGGGCGACTTTGGATGGTATCCCGTTCGTCGTTCAGGGTGTGGGGAGTAGGGCTAACGGGCAAGCCAGCAACCTTGTCAAGGTGTCGGTCGCCGCACTATTGGAAGTTGTTTGACCCCGACAGATTCGTAGGACAAAGCCACAGGAAGACCGCAGAATGCAGGGTTTACCCGACAAGGTAGTACGCGGACAGTGCCGCGTACAACATCATCTTCATTTATGGACTCGCATCGTGACGGGTGATAGGAAACGGGCAGCGCCGACACAAGCCCCGCGTTGGGACCTGACTCATGGTGCTCACCTTTCTGCTCACCCGCCGGACTTCACTTGTGCAGAATGGTTTGCTCGTAAGTACCACCAGCTTTTGATCGTGCGGGGGGCCCTTGACGCTTTTCGTATCGTTGGATTCCTTCGCTGGTAAGCGTGAAGACAGCTGTGGGGTTAGCCTCTGGGTGGATTAGTTTATCGTGTCGTACCTGAACACACGTTTTCAGCCCGCCCACGACTTGTGCCTGGCACACGCAATCCTGTAAGGGCAGAGGGCGGCTGTATTGGTTGTGTGCGGCAAGCAACAATACCGTTGGCCTTCCGAAACGAATATCGGCACATACTTGTCGCACTGTACCTTGGTCGCGTGCTCGCGCCGAGACCAAAGACCGCTCCAGCACCTGACCGTAAGGCAAGCGAAGGGGGGGCGGACGTCGTTCGACGGTCGTGAGGCTTGCGAGCAATTTTGAGGCAACTTTTAACGGGCCGGGCCGGGGCTGAAAGGGCGAGAGCATCCGGCGTCCACCGCTCCAAAGCCAACATGTGATCTCCAGCAAACATTACTGCCGTGAGGTATATTTGGAACATTGTCGAACACGTGGAAGACGTAGGGAACGGATGAGCGACAACCTGACCTTGAAAACGCTGCCGTGTTTCTCGGTGATGCCCATGCTGACCTCTCCGCTGTCAGGATTTGAGCGGTCCTCGGGAGTGGGCGTCCAGCTCCCCTTGATGCCCTCTACCTCGCGAAGCACAACGTCGCGCAAGAAGGTGGCCATTGCATCGGCGTCCTTCTCTTGGTCGAGGTATCCTAGCCAGCAGCAGCCCGACCAGGGGCAGACGGCTACGAACATGTGTCCTCGTAGTAGCGGCTTCAGGCCGACGAGAATCCTCTCCTGGAAACCCTCGTACAGGTTACGCCTGTCCCGGGTTTTCTTTTGCTTCTCCTTCCCAAAACCCATGCGTTTCCTCGTAGGGCTCATCGCCTAGAGTTAAGTAAGTCACGTTTCAGATGAGACATATGGGGGGATGGTGCAACATCAAGGCCTGACGCTTGGTGATTAAATGAGTCACGCTACGTATTCGGTGTTGCTCGCCGGCAAGGTGAGGGACGCCTCAAACCCGCGTCTACAAGTTTCGGAACATGTTGACGTATGCATACGTTTCGACGAATCATCATCGGTGAGGGCAGCAGCAACGAAAAACAGCGGCAACAAGACAACAAGAACAACCGCAGCAATATTGTCGGGATGCGTGTGGGCAAAAGCCTTCGCAGGTTTTCGTAGGCAAACATGTTGGACAAAGCATGCAATCGGGGAAGTTGGACTAGGGTTAAGGAGTAGGGTCTGAGTACCCCCTCTCTGTTCTAGCTCCTCCTAAGCGCATTTTCTCGCAACAAAAGCGGTCCCGTGGAGGGGGTCGTTGCCAAAAGAAAAAAACGTAAGTGCTTACCGTCCTCACTGCAGTCGTCCAGATCACCCCTCTCCTCCAGATCTGGCGGACGTGATAGGCAGAGCAGACCAGCGCCTTCGGCAATTCTTTTGACCACGGCATAAAAATCCGCCTCATTGTCGTATGCCCGCCTGCGAAAAGAGAGGTCGATTTGTGCGTGTCGTACATCACCCCACCCATTCTAGGCGCGCTTCATAATTCATTTCATGGACAAGAGGAATGCCCCCGATATTTCCTCGGCCTGGGGGTGCTGGACGGCAGTCGATCTTGCTATTGACATGTTTTTGAAAACAACAGAGGGAGCAACCAGCAATCAAACACACCAGAAACAAAAGATCCGTTGGAAAGTGTTGCGCAACAAAAATATCTCTCTCGTTGTCGCACAGAGCAGAGGCGGCTGGGAGCTCTCTCCACCAGCGTATCACGGGGTCTATACTTCCACGACGTTCTTGAAAAAAAAACAAAGGTAAAGATTCCACCAGTTCGTATTCAAGACAAAGAAGGTCATACGGCGGGTGCTCTAAGGAGGTCATTGCGTTCCGGAGTCCCGCCTTCAAAACGGGTTGGGACACCCAGATGCGTTCCAGGGACGTGCGGGGTAAAAAGCTGAAGCTTTGGGCCGACTAGTTCGCAACTCCGAGCCCACACCGTAGACTTCAACTCACATTCCAATCCACCGGTCCATGCGCCGTTACAGATCCAAGCTCCTGAACAAGATAATGCAGATAGCTTTTTTGTAAATAGCGGAACTTTTTGATATAACAGCCCCTGGCAGTGGATTTTGTGTGCGCCAATCAATGCGCATGTCACTGGTGCTCCATGATGTCCCTCTACATAAGGAAATGAAGCAGTTCAGGTTGGGCCTCTGTTTGGGGTACTTGGATACAAGATCCGATCTGGAGAGTAAATGTGTGTGGGCTATCGGGGGTCCAAGTGCGGGGCCCCTCGAGAGAGAGGAGCACGATCATCTCTTCATTATAGCGCATGTTCACTGTCTGCTATATTATCCCGTACTGGAAGGAGCACGGGTGTGTGATTTCAAGGTTTACGTCATCCGCATTAGTCCTGGGATCAATTTCTCCCCAGACCTATTCGTACTACCGTGGGTGGGCACGGTAGCCTCCGTGGGTAGGCACGGGGGCCTCATACCCGATAGATCGTTCAAAAAAGGTACCAATGTCGGATCAACAAGATGCCGCGGAGAGGGCGACAGCTGCGGAAAAGGCAGCAACAACTGCGGAGAGGGCAGTATCAGCGGCGGAAAGGGCTCCAGAAGAGATTCGAAACCACACGAACGAGCTTCCGGCCTGACTTAAAAGCGGCGATGGATCGGATCGCGGTTTTGGAGAAGCTTCAAGCTGGGAGGGCAGCAGAGGTTCAAGCCGGGAAGGTAGCTGGGGTTCACGCTGGGAAGGAAGCGGAGGAATTTGACACCGGTGGTGGGTCCTGGAGACTAGGCAGGGGGGAAAGGGCCCAAACGGTTGAAGATGTTATGCGAACACATCAAACATTATAAGAGAGAGGGGGGAAGAAGCCCCATGCGTACGGTGGACACCGGCAGCAGGTGACAAGACGTGTGCAGCAGAGCAGCTGCCACAACCACGTCCCTAGAGGGCGCTACCCGTACCAGCATCAGCAGCAGCAGCTGATGCCCAACGAACGCCCTCCCGCTGCTTTCGGTGGTGCAACGTTTCGGGACTGTGGGGGCATTTCTTGGCGACAGCAGCACGATCTACAGCAGTCGTGCAGAGGTGTTCCCGTGCAGCAGCCGTTCCAGCAGCAGCAGGGGCACGGCAGGTTTGGCAGATTTTGTAGGTTTCATCAGCAGCAGCCAGGCGTAGTGTATGACAGCGCTGGAGGATTTCAGCAGCACCCGCGGCAACAGCAGCTGCTGACCGCCGGCTCCACTCTTGCCGGTAAAAGCCCCCGCCAACGTAGCTTTTCTCAACCCAGTTACACACACCGCCACTCAGTCTCCTCCGCGACCCACGACATCACGTGTAGCACCTGCATTAGCGCGGAACCGCGAAGAGCTGGATCTCATGGAGGCCGGGTACGGTAGAGTTATAGCAACGCGACAGATTCCCGGATACGGCGTTGTTGTAATTTCGCCGTCCGCGGAATCGCAACAACCCAAGCAGGCGTCGCAGCAGCAGCAGCCAGAAGTGTCTCACTAATGCCACCATCAACAGTACACCATGCCGATGAGCTCTATCCTGCTGCCCCATCTACAACGGTTGGGGCCTGTGGAATGGCGTCGGCACCGGCGGCGGCGGTGGCGTGTGAAGAACAGTCGGAGGAAGCGGCAAGAGCGACGGAAGCAGCAGTACTGATCCTGGAGGAGCCTGTAGTAAGCAGCAGGAGAGTGGACAGCAGCGGCGTAAAGCGGCGGAGCCTCTTCCGATGCTTGGGCAAGCGGGGCAGTCAAGATGCATGCGCCGGCAGCGGCGGCAACAGGGGTGGCCAGACCTGCAGCAGCGGTGGAGATGACGGCATCTACCGTTTCGAGAGGGGCGCGTCGTACCCTTCTGATCCGGGAGAATTTTCTACGCAGGAGGTGCGTGAGAAGAGAGAGCACAACAACGGTGGTGAGAAGGGGATCCGGAGCAGCGGTGGCCGCAGAAGCAGCAGCAGCGGCGGAGGAGAAGGCGCGGCCTGGGTTGGAGCATGAACGCATCCCTTCGACAGAGGGCAGCGGTCCCGGAGGAGGAGAGCGACCACGAGGGTCGTGCCGGGAGTGGACCTCCCGTTCGATCGGGGTATTGATGCATTTGCACATGCAGCAGGGTGACGCTTTGCACCAAGCGGCACCGCCGGGAGCGGCGGCGACGGCATCGCGGACGGCTTCGGCCAAAGCCCCGTCGGCAGCAGTAGCGGCAGCAGGAGCTGCGACGGCAGCGGCGACTTCGGCCAGAGCCGCGGCGGCGGGACCGTTGGCGTCTGTCCGAGCGAAGGCGGCGCCAGCACAGCCACCGGAAACCACAGCAGTGTGAGCGGGGATGAGAGAGCGGGCGAGCGGGAGGAGAGCGTACCCTTGTCTGTTTCCCCCCCCCGCCCACCCCTCCCGTGCCCCCTACAGCGCCGCACCTGCAACGAGACCCCGGCGACGTACGCGCAAGCTAACGCGGGCCGGCGCAGCGCCATTTGGGGAGTAGCAGCGAAGCGCAAGGCGGATAATTGACTCCGGTGGGCACCCTCCAGTCGGCCGAGCGGGGGGAGGAAACGGTGGCAGCGACGACCTCACCCTATTTCCGCCAAATTGGAGACCAAGTGAAATGTTTACCAGTTTGTTTCGGTTTGGTGTGCAGGCATTCGCATGTTAACTTCACGGTGTTCTGTTCTTTCTGTCTTTCTTTGTTGTTCCATGTCGAGCGCATCCATCCCGTTGCGCAGAAGACGAGAAATTCAAAAAGGTATTGCGTTCGAGAGACAATGCGTTGGAATGTTGGAATGTGCGGCATTTCTGCTTGTTTTCTGTGTGTGCATGTTCTCTTCTGGTTTTTGACTTGTTAAGCGAGATTTCTAATCAGGCCATAGGCCTCAGCGCAATGTAGCGCTCCATCAATAAAAACTTGCATCTGCCTGTACGCTTTATCTAAGTTTTGGAATACATCACTTGATTTCAAAGGGGGTCAGCAGACCGCACGTGACCGCACAGCAGATTCCAGCTATTGCAGCTGCAGAAGAACATGCACAGCAGACAACACACGCTCAGCGGGCACAGCGAGCGAAAACATACAGCGGCCAGAGAAATAGATGGTGTAGCTGCTGTGAGCTCATGGCAATTGAATGAGTAGACGTCCGTTGCGATCGATTGACCCGAACTCCGTCCGTGAGGCAGAAGCGCACACAGACTCCCGGCACGGACAAAGCCGCGGGGAGAGGGAGTCACGAGGTAACCCACAGCATGACAGGGAGAGAGCTGCTGCTGGTCAGAGGGCTGCCGCCAGGCGTGCGAAGGAGAAAGATGGAGCACGGGCAGAAACGTGCGTTGGTGCGTGTGCGTGTGGGGGATTGCCGCAGAATAGAAATACCTAACCAACGACCCCTTTTTTGTATTGTTCCGCACACGCAGAACAAATTGTACGCACGGCAGAGTACGAAAGACAGGAACCTGGACGGGCACGAGCGATCCCACGGCATATGGCACACAGTGAACCCTCTCTCTCTCTCACGCACACAAAAACACAAACACACACACAAACACACACACAGACACACAGACCTTCCCCAAAACAAGAAACGTAGGGCTAGGGGAGAGCTGCCCAGAGATTCTTGTCAAAATGAGGATCAGAATGATGGTAGCGAAAACGAGGAAGATGATGGTGAAAGTACGCCTAAACGAACTAGAGTACAAGGTAATAGCCTTGGTAGACGCGTCCAGTTTTCTTCTGTTGCTGCTGTTTCTGTCTTTGATCCGAAGGATAGTTTAGCCTCCCCCATGCTGCTCCCTCACGGGTTCCCAGTTCATGGCAGATAAAAGTGTTTTGTGTTTTCAACCGCACTAAGACTGACGTCTTGTCATTGGTCAGCCGGTTAGCGCGGTCGATGCTCATAATAAAAAAAAAACACACACACACACAGGCTGCGGGCGGACCGGCAGAGAGCCACCGCTAGGCGACAGCGAGGGCAGCCGCCGACACCAGAACAGCGGACGGCTAACCGAGAGAGAGGCAGTGCGAGGCGTCAGCAGCAGACACCATAGCTGGCGGCTAACCGTGAACGAGATGCTGCGAGGCGTCGGTGGGAGACACGAGTCAGCACAAAGCACGAGGGTGAAGTACACGGACACGGGCGTCTTCAGCGCCGTCGCGGGTAACCAATAAAGTCCCATGGATCAGCAGATGCGCGACAAAGTCAATTGCAAAAAACACAAAAACGCTCTCTTCCACCGGCGGTGCCCCTCGCAATCACACGCACTTCCTCCCGTGGACGGACACGTCTCACGACAGTTACATCTATCACCTGTCGCTCGTTGTTCTACTGTATCTTTTGGACCCGAAGCTTGTGTGACATGCGGAATTAAATAAGAACGTTCGTAATCTGCTGTTTGAACTAATGTCAAGAACCATGGGGGGGGGGTTGTGTACCATGTTTCTAGCAGAAGTACCAGCAGA